CCAGGTTCACCTCCAGCAAAAGAAGGTCTCACCCAAACCTCATTTAAGAGATTTATTGGTAGGGAAGCATCCAGGAGGGTGGCCGCCTCTGCCAGGGTGAAAAAGGCAGCGGCAAACTGAAAAGGCACAGGGCTTATCCAGGGCTTCTTAGGGACAGAGTTTTTCCAGGGAGAAGATTTTCAGGGTGGAATTGGTCGGATTTCAATCCCCTTGAGTTTGGTTGGACAAGCTCAGATAGGCTAGCTAGATTTCCTGCTCAGGGACTGGTTGGTTTGCCTGCTCAGGGATTGATTGGTTTCGTGTTCAGTTGATCAGGGGCAGATTTGGCTCTGGTTTCAGGGCCAAAGTGTGTTTCTTTTCTTTTTTTTTTTTTTTTTTCTCGAGACAGGGTTTTGTGTGTGTGTGTAGTTTTGGTGCCTGTCCTGGATCTCCCTCTGTAGACCAGGCTGGCCTGGAACTCGCCGAGATCTGTCTGGCTCTGACTCCCGAGTGCTGGGATTAAAGGTGTGCACCACCACCACCACCACCACCACCACCACCACCACCGCCGGGCTCACGAGCCCTTTTTAGCTTTCTGGCTCTAGTTTTAGGGCCAGGGTGGGTTTCTTTCACAGGCTCTGGTTTCAGGGCCAGGGTGGGTTTCTTTCACTGGCCCTTTTATCCTACAAGGATGATCCAGGAATAGATCTCTAAGGGACAGAGCAAACTCTCTTTCTAGCTCTCTTAAATTGTGTGATGGGAGGCAACTCTTTTTGTTTCTTCAGTCATCTGGAGGATCATACCCACACATAAACTTAGCAAGCTTATTGTGACCCTTTCAGGAAATGCTAGCCTTACAGGCTCTTTGTGATCTTAGGAGCTCAATATAAACAGTACATTCTTTTGCTATTGAAGAGAAGGGAAAGCCGTTGTCTTAAAAAAAAAAAAAAGGTGTGTGTGTGTGTGTGTGTGTGTGTGTGTGTGTGTTGGAGATACTTAATCCTATGTGTATGTAGGCCAGAGGTCAACATGTTTCCCAGTCGCTTTTCTCCGTTTTTTGAGGCCAGTTCTTTCACAGAACCTGGAGTTCATCTGTGTGGCTATTTGCCCCAGGGATCTGTGTGGTCCCCACCAACTCTACGCAGTGCCGGGGTTGCAGAAAACACATCCACATGGAGCTTTTTTTGGAGGTCTGAACTCAGGTCCTCCTGCTTGCATGGCAAGCGAGCTACAGAATGAACCTCTTCTCCAGATGAAATGGTTGCCATTTCTGAGCTTAATTTGGCACTTGAAAATTCTTTATGCACTGAGAAAAGATCACCTTTTGTTCTCTGTATGTGAGTTCTGACTTCCTCACGGCCCCCAGCCCACATGTTAAAGCAGTGACGGTTTTGTGGCACCTCATTCGAAGGGCACCTGCACTCCAAAGTCGGCTACCCTTCGTGGTTAATGTTAGGATCTTCAAACGTGCTTGCTTGTTAGTGAAGCTGCGTTCTAGACCCTTACGGCTTTTCAAAGCCACACATCCTCTATGAAATCCTGACTGTTTTTCCTTTGAATACTCTTGCTCAAAGCAACATAGTCATTCCATTTATGGGGTTAAAATTAAAGAATTAGTCTATTTGTGGAAGCTTTTTCCTGTGAATAGTCAGAGGGACCATACATGTTTATCACCAGGATATCCTGGTTGGCCCTGGTCTGCTCTGCGTCTTGAATATCAAAGCTTTAAGTTGGCCATGAAATTCTAGAAAGTGCCTAAGCTCCCCGCCCCACACACCTTTTTTTTTCAGGTGCTGTGTAAACATCTCTTCAAAAGCAGGTTTATTTATTTATTTATTTATTTATTTATTTATTTATTTATTTATTTATTGGTTTTTTGAGACAGGGTTTCTCTGTGTAGCTTTGGAGTCTGTCTTGGAACTCTCTTTGTAGACCAGGCTAGCCTCGAACTCAAAGAGGCCTGCCTCTGCCTCCTGAGTGCTGGGATCAAAGGCATGCACCACCACGGCCCAGCTTTATTTTACCTTTTGAAGAAAAAAAAGAACGTTTTCTTGTAAGACAAATTGCTAAATGGTCTTATTAATAAAAAACCCGGAGCCAGATATTGAAGTGAAAACTGAGAGATCAGAGAAGCAAAAAGAAGCCTTGGAAATCCTCAGCCCAAGAGAGAGTGTTCCTGTTTCCTCATGCCTTGTATACCTTTCTGTGTCCTGCCACATTACTTCCTGGGATTAAAGGCATTTGTCTCCACTGCCTGTCTCTGTTTCTCTCATGTAGGCCAGTGTGGCCTTGAACTCAGAGAATCAGATGGATCTCTGCCTCCTTAGTGGTAGGATTAAAGGCGTGTGCTACCATTGCCTGACTTCTGTGTTTACTATAGTGGCTGGCTTTTCCCTCTGCTCTCCAGATAAGCTTTATTGGGGTGCACAATTAAAATATCACCACATTTTCTTATATTTCTTTGTTTTCAGTTAAACCACATATTTGTGAGTGAAAAGTAAGACAATAACAAGACTCTCACTTACCCATAATGCCATGCTTGATAAAATTACCCCCGCCCCCAGTATGTTTTAGAGATAGATAAAGCAGATTGAATGGTAAATACTGACATCTTTTCTAGGCCATTATTTGTAACTATATTTTTAAAATTTTGCTGATACTAGTAAGTTATCTTTACTAGACATTTACATGAAGTATGTTATTCTGAGAAGAAATTTAAATCCTTATTGTGAACACTCAAGTTTTTTTGTGATAACATTCGACTGTGGTCACTTGCTTCCCAGGCCAGTGTGACAACCTGTTGAGAAGGAGGGTGTGCTTTTGCTTATAGACAGGTCTGAGCACTCGAGCTATAAACAAACTGATTGACCTAAGGCCCAAGGCCTCAGGTGGAGTTGGGCTGTGGGTCATGTCATTTCCCAGGAATTACACGAACTCGCTTACAAGTATGTGCGGACTGAAGTTTGTGCACTTACCTCCCTTGTTTACTTGCTTTCTCCCATCACTTGAAACTAATTTATTCTAAATTACGTGGGAGTGGTGGGCGCACAGAGCAATAGCTGCCGGTCAGAGGTGACAAGCAAGCTCGGCCAGACCAGGGAGTCATTCAGTTTAGGACTGCTTAGCCGATCTCCTGCATTATTAACGTAGCACCAGTGAGTCTCAGCTGTGAGAAGTCCAGGGCAATTGTCATACTTAAGATGACCCTCGGTTATAAAAACAGATCAAATAAAACACTTGAGTTTGGTTTAGTGTGTTCCAGTTACAAAGGCAAAAAGGGGCTTAAGATTTCTAGCTAGGGGATAAAAGGACTGCTCAGTCAGTAAAGGGCTTGCGATACACGCGTGAGGACATGAATTACCCCCTCGGGATCCACGTGAAAAAGCTAGGCATGGTAGCAGACATTTAGAATCCTGGTGCTGGGGAGGCAGCGACTGGAAAGTCCCTGGGGTTGTCTCACCAGTTGCCAAAAAAAAAAGGCAGCAACTGAAGAGGAATGGCACTTAAGGTTGTGCTCTAGACTCCACGTGCATGCATACATACGTGTGTGTGTGAGACGTGTATGTGCACACACAAACACACACAACTTAAAAATAAAACAAAAACAAAGATTTTCATTTTAAATTATTTTCCTCTTAGAAGGAATTGGAAATGGCTCCAGCCTGCCCTCACTTTGTATTCTCAGGTACCTAGATTGAGGTTACTAGATATGGATAAGAAAGAAAGGAATGATAAGTGCAATTGTTTAGATCATCCGGGACCTTGATAAGGGAGGCAAAGCGATCATTTACCCGTTTCCCGTCAAATGCACTGAAATAAAAAGATGTATTATAGCCGGGCAGTGGTGGCGCACGCCTTTAATCCCAGCACTCGGGAGGCAGAGCCAGGCGGATCTCTGTGAGTTTGAGGCCAGCCTGGACTACAGAGTGAGTTCCAGGAAAGGCGCAAAGCTACACAGAGAAACCCTGTCTCGAAAAAACCAAAAAAAAAAAAAAAAAAAAAAAAAAAAAGATGTATTATAGTGTGCCTTCTGCATTTCATCTCATAGTAAAGTAGGAGTTTTTCAGGTCTGATTTTGAAGCAAAGGACAGGGGTACCAAGCAAACACACTTCAAATGTTTCCAGTGGTTCTCAACCTTCCTGAGGCTGCCACCCTTAAATACAGTTCCTCATTATTTCATTGCTACTTCTTAACTGTAATGTTGTAACTGTTAAGAATTGTAATGTAAATAACAGATATGCAGGATATCTGGTATGTGACACCCCCCCTCCCCTTCACACACACACAGGTTGAGAACCACTGGTTATACTTTATATTCCATAAAGTGATGTGTATGTGTGTGTGTGTGTATGTGTGTGTATATGTTTACATTCTAGAGAAGGTTGTCATCTACATTTTATCTGTCTATAACGATCCAGTGAGTAACACATTAATGCAAAACAAAGCTGAACATACTATGCTGTGATGTGGAAAAGTCAAATACAAATGTCTAAAAGTTGAAATGTTTTAATAGGTTTTTTTTCCCCCCATTTTTCAAACTGAGAAAAAGGGCACTGAAACTATGATGCATAATGATGTCACTTTTGGCCCCAAAGGAGTGAAATGATTATTCATATCTTGAAGCACATACTCACTTTTTACTGGGAAGAATCAAAAAAAAAAAAAAAGAAAAAGATATTCTTTAGTGTTTTTGAGGAAAGGTTTTGGGCGTGGCGATAAATAAATTCTCTTTTTGAAGAAATTTTACTTTTTTACCTAACATGAGAAAGTCCCAGGGAAGGAAGCCTCTAGCTTTGACACCACAGAAGTGGTTGTTGGAAACCTCATCATCTGTTGATAAATTGCTAAGACTAAGCAGAAGTAAGTGTTCTTTCTGTACATGCAGTGAGCAATTTCAATGTTACAGACCCATGTCATTTTCCCTTCTCTCTTCATAGATTTATTTACTAATTCATGTATGTGAACCATTGTGGGAAACCCTCTGCATAACCATCCCTTCTGTCTTTGGACCCTGTTTCAGGCAGGCCAGCCATGAGAGGGTACCTCGTGGCCATCTTCTTGAGTTCCGTCTTCCTCTATTATGTGCTACACTGTATCCTGTGGGGAACGAATGGCTATTGGTAAGTTTCAGTTTTCTAACTTAACATGACTCTCACACTAGTCTTCCCCTTATTTATCTAAAGAACCTTCCAGCGTATTTTGTTGTATTGTATTACAGTGTTGTATCCACTATTGTAACATGTTGGAGCTTGTCTAGCTTTTTACCGTACCCTGGGATTTTCCTATCCCTATTTTCCGTTTTCCTAGACTGTAGATTGTTTCTCTAACCACTGAAAACTGTTGAGGCGGTCTGAGGAGATGGCTCAGAGGGTCAAGTGCTTGCTGCACATGTATGAGGATGACCTGGGTGTAGATTGCTAGAACCGGTGTGAAAATCAGGCATGAAACCCTGTGCATTGTAACCAACACTGGGGAGGAGGGATGGATTGGAAACAGGAAGAGTGCTGGTGATGCCTGGCCGGCCAGAATCAGCTTCAGCTCCAGGGTTAACGAGGGACTTTGTCTCATGAGTCAAGGGGAAAGTGGGGAGCAGGACAAAAACGTCACACACACACACACACACACACACACACACACACACACACACACACACATACAGACACACCCACACGCAAAGAGAGACAGACACACAGAGAGACACAGAGACAGAGCCAGCGAAACAGAGAGACACAAAGATATTTTTTAAAATTTTTATAATTAAAAATTTTTTTTTAAAAAAAATTCGTTTTACATACCAACCACAGATCCCCCTCTCATCCCTCTTCCCGCTCCCCCCACTCCCACCTTTCCCCACCCCGGCCCACCCCTCATCCTCTCCTCCAAAAGGGTAAGTCCTCCCATGGGGGAACAGCAAAGCCTGGTACATTCAGTTGAGGCAGAACCAAACCCCTCCCTGCTACATCAAGGAAGAGCAAAGTGTCCCACCATAGGTAATGGGATCCAGAAAACCAGCTCATGCACCAGGGATAGATCCTGATCCCACTGCCAGGGGCCCCTCAAACAGACCCAGCTACACAACTGTCTCCTGTATGCAGAGGGTCTAGTCCGGTACCATGCTATTGGTCTAAAGTTCGTGAGTTCCTATGAGCTTGGTTCAGTTGTCTCTGTAGATTTCCCATTATGATCTTGACCCCTTCCCCCCTTTGCTCATGTAATCCCTCTTCCCTCCCGGAGCTCGGCCCAGTGCTTGGCTGGGCATCTCTGCATCTGCTTCCATCAGATACTGGATAAAGGCTCTATGATGACAATTAGGGTATTCACCAATCTGATTACCAAGGTTGGTCAGTCCAAGCACCCTCTTCATTATTGCTAGTAGTCTAATCTGGGGTCATCCTGTGGATTCCTGGGAATTTCCCTAGCACCAGGTTTCTCCTTAACCCTATGTCTCCCTCTATCAAGATATCTCTTTCATTGCTTTCCCATTCCATCCCTTCCCAGCTCAACCATCCCGTTCTCTCATGTTTCATCTCCCATCTCCTCCCCTCGATTACGCTCCCCCCCACCCCCAGTTTACTCATGGGGATCTCCTCTGTTTCCCCTTCCCAAGGTGATCCATTCATCCCTCTTAGGGTCCTCCTTGTTTCCTAGCTTCTCTGGAACTCTGGGTTGTGGTCTGATTATCTTTTGCTTTACATATACTATCCACTTATGAGTGAGTACATACCATGTTTGTCTTTCTGAGTCTGGGTTACCTCACTCAAGATGATTTTTTCTAGATTCATCCATTTGCCTGCAAACCTCATAATGTCATTGTTTTTCTCTGCTGAGTAGTATTCCATTGTGTATATGTACCACATTTTCTTTATCCATTCTTCGATTGAGGGGCATCTAGGTTGCTTCCAGGTTCTGGCTATTATGAATAATGCTGCTATGAACATAGTTGAGCAAGTGTCCTTGTGGTATGATTGAGCATCCCTTGGTATATGCCCAAGAGTAGTATCATTGGGTCTTGAGGTAGATTAATTCCCAATTTTCTGAGAAGTCACCATAATGACAGAGAGACACAGAGACACAGAGAGATTTTTTTTATTAAAGAAAAAACCCTGTTGGATAGCCCTATTTCTTTAAAAAGTATTTATTTTATTTTAAAGTGTGTGTGTGTGTGTGTGTGTGTGTGTGTGTGTGTGTGTGTGTGTGTATTTTGTGTGATTATTTGCATGTGTGTGGAGATACCTGTAGAGGCCAAAAGAGGGTGTTGGATCCCCTGTAGCTTAAATTACAGGTGGTCATGAGTCATCCAGTATGTGTGCTGGGAACTGACCTGAGGTCCTCTTCAAGAGCAGTATAAGCTCCCAGACTCTAAGCCACCTGTCCAGTCACAGTCCATTTTTTATTGAATCTTCAGTAAAGCAATAGTATTGACTATTTTCAGGACATAACATTGTAATATTTATATAGTAGCTCATTTCTTGAATTAATGAAGTGGTTCTTGGACTTAGCATCAGTCGAGTTTTAGGTTGTTACTGCTAACATATACATACCACAGTCAGTTCCCTTTGTTTAAAAACACAATATGTCTTTCAGAATAGCTTTTACATAAAACACTTGTAAAACTTTAAGGCATAATTTTACTGCATAGAAAAATGTATTAAGTGTGTTTTTCACACTTCCCATTTCAGTCCTTTGGCTGCAAATAAAATTTTGGTGACCTTTAAATCCTAAATGGATGTCAGTACACAATTAAATCCAAATAGATCAGAATGTAACTTCCCATCTTAGGCAGTATTTTGTCAGTTTTTCAACAGAAGACCTTAGGTTGTTTCTAGCTAGATGAGTAAGAATCCTATGTGTCTGTTTCTGCTCTTCCATCTCATCACTGAAAGATTATTGTAGTGCTTTTCATGGGAGAAAGTTGGGCAAATGCTACTGGGAGAAAACCTAATGCCAGTCCAGTGGTTTGGACCTACAGCTTTAGCCTTTGGACCTAAATTCTGGGCCAAAGAGCTTTGAAGTCTCATTCAGTGAAGATCATCCCACAGGAGCCTCTTCCTTTATATCTGCCACCAAAGAAATGAAAAAGCAAAAAGGTTGCTATGCTACTATTTGTAGTAGACAGGGTTCTCTAGAAGAATAGACCTCATAGAATCTAAATATATTATAAAAGGGGGTTTATTAGAATGGCTTCCATGATAGGGGCTGGATAGTTCAACAATGGCTGTCTGAACCCTAGAGAGAGGCTCAGGTCACAGTGGTGGTTCAGCTTAAAAGGCTTTTGCTTCAGCACTCCCTATCTTGTGATGAAGACCTGGTGGATTCCTTCAAAATTGCTGGGTTTTAGTTCACTATGGTGCACACTCACGTTATCTGTGACCTCCATGTACTGTCAGAAGACAGAAGAAATTGGAGTTTATATCAGTGAAGGACAGACACACTCATAAGCAAAAGAGGCAGGCAAGCTACATTGTATTTTCCTCTGAACTTCTTCTGTTTGGGCTACCTACCAAAAGGTGCATCCACTCTGAGGTAGGGTCTTTTCCTAATTAATTGTTACTAGAAATGCCCTTAAGACCCACCCAAAGGTATGTCTCTTAGTTAATTCCAAATCTCATAAGATTAGATTATCTACCATTTTAACATCCTGTTTATCACAGAGGAAATGATAAAGAAGATAATAAAAATATTTTGAATTCACTGCCGTCTTTTGTCACCAGAATTTGAAGTGTCCAAACTAAGCTAACATTACTCATTGACAGTACATGGAGGTCACAGATAATGTGAGTGTGCACCATGGTCTTGCTTCCTTTAAAACTCTTTAAGAGGAACTGGGGTACCAAGTCCTTGCATAGCCTTTAGGGATGGACCTGACTGGGGCAGCGAGGAAATAAAGACAAGACAGACAGATGGACATAAGGGTAGAAATATGGGATAGGTAGATGGTCTGGGCTTCCTGCTGGAGAAGCCTAGAACCCTGGAAACTCGATGTGTTTAGTATGGACAGTTGAAATAAGAGGCCAAATTATTGCACACAGCTGGAAAAGAGGACTGGGCTTATTGTATACAGCTGGAAAAGAAGGTAGGGCTTATGGTATACAGCTGGATCAAAGTGACAGGTTCAGGTAATGTGATAGGAGCAATTTATTTTTATTTATTTATTTATTTTTGGTTTTTCCAGACAGAGTTTCTCTGTGTAGTTTTGGTGCCTGTCCTGGATCTTGCTCTGTAGACCAGGCTGGCCTCGAACTCACAGAGATCCGCCTGGCTCTGCCTCCCAAGTGCTGGGATTAAAGGCGTGCGCCACCACCGCCTGGCTAGGAGCAACTTTTGTAGGGGACCAATTTCAGGCCATACACACCAGGGGAGAAAGCTATGGTGGACATTTTCTGCATATACTATCAGCACTCAGAATCAGTCCCCTAAAAAGGCTTTGGTGTCCCTCTGAGCCTGAGGCTATGGAATCTTTAACATGGACACTCAGGATTTCATTTATTCAGGATGTCTCTCTTCCTTATACTGGGGAGACAATTAAAGGGGCAGGGGAGATGATTCAATTGGTAAATACTTTCCATACAATAGCACAGAGACCTGAGTTTGATCCCTCGCTCCTACATACACAGCCAGGAGTGGTAGTACCCACTGGCAGTGGGCCCAGCCTAATCTGTAGATCTCCAAGACAACAGGGTAGATTGGCACCTAAGGAGAAACCATAGCCAAAGTGGTTCTCTGGCCCACACAACCACACGCAATACAACGCCACCAACAGGAGATGGATGACTCGGCAGCTAAGGCACTTGCCATGCAAGTACGAGGCCCAGACTTTGGATCCCCAGAATGCATGGTGCGTGGGGGAGCTTGCCTGTTGTCCCAGCTTTGCAAGGCCAAGAGACAAAGATTCCCCGGAGCAAGCTGCTCTCAAGACTACCATGTTAATGAGCTCTGGGCTTTAGGAAGTGACTCTGCCTCAAAAGAGTAAGAGCGATCAAGGGATGTGGTGATATTTTGTTGTACTCTAATAAAACTTGCCTGAAGATCAGAGGATAGAGCCAGCCACAGAGTTAGCCATAGAGATCAGGCAGTGGTGGCACACACCTTTAATCCAATAGCAGTCGAGAAGGCAGAGGCAGAGATCCGTCAGGATCTCTGTGAGTTCAAGGCCACCCTAGACTACATGAGATTAATCCAGACTGAAAGAGAAACAGCCAGGCAGTGGTTGGCACACACCTTTAATCCCAGCACTTGAGATCTCATGTCTTTGCTACCAGTATTTGGGAAGCACACATGCCATTAATCCCAGCACTAGGAAGGCTGAGACAGGAAGTGTTATGGCTGGGCAGAGAAAGGAATATAAGGTGGGAGGAGATAGGAATTAGGCCCCTTTTTGGCTGAGAATTCAGAGGCATTCAATCTAGGATTCGTGGAGATAGGATCTTCTCTTTTCGGCTGAGAAGTTGGTGAGGTGAGAAGTGACTGTGGCTTGTTTCCTCTGATCTTTTAGCTTTCACCCAGATATCTGGCTCCAGGCTTTTATGATAAGACCATTTAGGATTTGTGCCACAAAGGAAGATTCTTAATGTCAACCTTGGGCCTCCGCTCATACATGCACACCTGTGGGTGAATCCACACCTATGTGATATACATACCACATATACACATGAAAAACAAAGATGATTCTTTGTTTTCATAACAACCTAAAGTTTGTCTTCATACTATTCGAAAACAGCTGTTCATTTTCAGTCTTTGGGTTGCTTCTTGGTCTAAGTAGTCAAGTTCATCTTGCCCCTTGAATACAGCACAGTGTTTATAGCTTGCTGTGCTTGTCTACCATATCCATGTGTGTCGTCCTTATTGTAAACCAAGTGGCCCTCGCCTTTGTAGTATTCCCAAAAAATCTCATTTATATCCTTGTATCCTTTTAGTTCAATAGCTTACGATGGTGATTTTACACTTAAAAAGTGAAAATTAGGGCTGGAGAGTTGGCTCAGTGGTTAAGAGGATTTCTTGCTGTTGCAAAGGACCTGGGTTCGATTCCCAGCATCCACATGGAAGCTCACCACCTCCTTGGGCACCAAGCACGAATGTGGTGCACAGATGTACATGCAGGCAAAACACTCATAAAATGGTAAAAATAAGTCTAAAAAAATTAAGCTGGTTGTAATGGCAATATACCTTCAATCCCAGTACTTGAGAGGCAGAGGCAGGCAGATCTTTGTGAGTTCCAGGCCAGCCTGGTCTACACAGCAAGTTCCAGGACAGGTAGGACTACATAGAGAAACTGTCTCAAAACAACAACAACAACAACAACAAAAAACAGAAAAAATAATTATTTGTCTACAAAAGGTCCAGTCTATTCAGATTGAGTCCTATTAATAGTGGAAAAACACTGATTTAAGTTTTTACTTTTTCTTTTTCTCATTCAGTCACTTAATTTTTAAAGCACCGGTTCTTCATATAATCTATCATCAACGAGTGACGTGAAGCCATGTTCCTCTTCTGGCTGTTTCCTCCCCCCGCTTCCCCTCCCCCCTCCCCCCATTTCCTTTCTTGTTGCATTTCACAAGACCCTACATTTAGGAACCGCCTGAGCCAAGAACTGAGGACAGTGAGATTCAGCTCTCAGTGGTGTGTCTTGTGACACCCCCCAGGCAGCGGTCTGTTCAAGCTGCTCAGTCAGATGTTTACACTAGGTGCTGTCACTGTGCAGTCCCACGTAGGACTTGGGGATGAAGGCCATGTGCACTTGGTCGGTATGGCTTTGAAGGCCTTTGAGGACTTCTAAAACTAGAGTGTGATTTTGGCTTCCACAGTGTGGAAACCCTTCCCACGGGTCCCTGGGAATCACTGTTCCCCACAGTTCCTTAGGTGACCATGGCCTTTCCAAATGTCAGGGCTGTGTGTGTGTGTGTGTGTGTGTATGTGTGTGTGTGTGTGTGTCTGTCTGTCTGTCTGTCTGTCTTTGTCCTCTGCCTCCAAGACTGGTGAGCAGTGGAGCCCAGTGGGTTCCTGGTGTACACATTCCTCTTTGGTCAGGATTCCTGGCTCTGGCTTCTTACGTCCACTGTTTCTTTCTCCTAGGGTACCACTCGTGGAAATGAAGAGCAAAACCATCAAGCCTTGTTCAAAGGAGCCGGCTTTCGCATCTCTGCTGAGGTAAAAATAGACCAGAGAACGGCAGCTCTGCAACATTTGCAGAATATGTTTGTGGTCATTTTTTTTTTTAACACTGTTGGCCCTTTTCGTGCAAACCTTGGTACCTGATAGACACTGCGTGTGTAAGGATGTGTGTAAGGAACCTGAATAGCCCGCCGCTGTGCATCTAGCCAGAGCTCTGAGTAGTTTAAGGAAAGATACTGGAGCTGGTATTCGCTTCACTCAGGTGAGGCTGGAGAGGCCTATTTGGATTTGATTAGAAAAAAAGAGCTGTGCCTTAGTTTCTCCCCCCTGCCCCTCTCAGAGAGGCTTCATCCAGCAACTGACGGGAGCAGATGTAGAATTATTTTTTATTAAAAATTTCCCCTCACTTTCACGTGTAGAATGCAAATGATTGATCTACATATAATGTGAATGGTGAGCGAACCTTTTGGCTGCCAGGAATTTTAGTTTATTCTTCCATCTACAGATACTTCTTTTCCCTGTGCGCTGCCGCTTTGATAGATAGCAAAAGCAGCGACAAACATGGTTAGGTGTGTTTAACTCTATAACACATTTTTTTGAGACCCCCTGCCCCAAGGTTATAGTATTCGTTCAAGACTGCTAAGTCAGCATCTAAGACTGCAGTTTAAGGGACATGGAGGCATGTGTTTGTCATTTGTACAGTACTCTCCAAGGATGCTCCCTTGAGCATGTCGTTTTCTGAGAAATGGATGAAAGCCAGGCAGCATGAGGAAGTTCTGCTCACGAACCTGGGTTGTGTGGGGACTCCTGCCCTCAGAACCAGACCTCTATGTAGATTGCAAATTTGTCGTCTGTGGGATGGTGGCTCCCTCCCCAAGCAGGGGCTTCACTGCCCATACTTACCATATAGCAGGCTTTTGTAGGAGTTACAAATGCAGAGCTGCGTTGTGATAAAATGCATTTGAATGTGACTATCATACTTACAACAGGTAAAAATAATACTTACTGAGACTCTTAATATGTCTGAGATACTGTGACAAATAATTATTTCATTTGGAAAGTAAATGTCAGCAATGAATAGAGGTTTGACTAGAAACATATGCTAGTTACTAGTCACCATTACTGTCAATCACCCTGACCAGCTCTGAAGAAGAGAGGCAGCCTTTGCTGGAGCTTCATTCTCAGGCTTAAGTTCTCCAAGATGACCTGGAGGATCTTGAGTCATCTCCCCCAAGCTTGAACTGGTGTCCTGGTACTTCCCCCTTTCCAGTGTCGGACCTGGACTTGGGGATCAACACTGATTTAGAAATGACTTTTGCAGGGTGGCTGGCCTTCAGGCTGCTGTCACTACCAGTGCTGGAGCTCGGACCTATATTTGGTCGGGGAATGCTAGCCTCTTACCTGTTTCCTTTAATGTCAGTTTGTAATGCAGCTCTCAGGACCAGGATAAAGTTGAAGGCAGGTCACTCCCACGCCATTGCTATTTCCATTTGTCGTGCGGCATTGGGAAATCCTGGCCTCACTCTGGTTTCCACCTGCATATTTAAATATTAGCACGAAGCTGATGGAGTAAGAGTGTCTGTGTGGGGCCTGCAGTAGAGTTTGGCAGGTCCTGCCCTATAACTTCCAGTCTTTCTGGTGGGAGAAAATAACTTATTTGAGACTGTTTCCCTCTCTTTAATAACACACATAAGCACTTCCCCTACTTTATAATGGCCCTTTAAAAATTGACTTGGAGTTAAAATTCATTCAAGTACTTCTTAAATAGGTGTTGACGAACAACTGTGTTCTATGCTGGATACCACAATAGCTCTTCCTGTCTTTATCAGACATTCCAAGGAGAGGTGTGGGAGTCACAGGGCACATCTTGAAGTCAGAGCATGTCGCAAGGAGACAGATTTCCACAATTTTTGTTCTTGAGTAAAGCTTAATTTAATGACATTAGGGCAGAGTTGAATTCTCTAGCTACATTTAACTTTCAGTATATCTTTGTTTTTACAGTTGGTACAGTTTATGCATATGGCACTTTTAAATTTTGGAAGAGCTTAGCATCAATACCAGCATAACTTCCTGCCCATCACTTTGTCACTTAGAGTGTGATTTTGCTTATACTGTAACATAATTTTGGTTCCTGCACCTGAAAATAGCATAACTCTAACATTTAAGTATTGTCTTAAATTATTTTAAAAATACTTGTACCACCTGGGCCACCCCCCTGCCGTAAGTTTCAGTTGTGATTGTAGATGTCTCAGAACACAGCAGACATTTGACAAGTCATGCTTTGTTATTTCCTCCCAGGTTTCCTCAGTTTTACCCATTTCTGTGTGCATCTGATTTTGCAAAGATTGCTTCCGCGTACGGTACCAATAACTTTGTTCTGCCCTATGGGATAAAGGCATCAGGTCAGTCACGCTGTCCTTATCCTGTTTTTTTAATTTGAGTGATGTTTGTTGAGAGCCACATGTTTTTGTTCCCTAAGGGTTCCCAGGAGATATGATTTGGGGACAGGATAAAAAGAAAAATCAAAGTTTTAAACATAAATACTCTTTAGGAGGGAGTGTAGAGTCAAAAGTGTTAGGGTTTTTTTGTTTTGTTTTGTTTTATGGTTGTTTTGTTGTGCTAGTGGTGGTGGTACTGGGGAAAATGTCTGTCACAGTGGGTCTTAGTGGGCTCACATGCCTAACTTTATTCCAGCTTGGAATTAGCAGGATAACCTTGAAGGGTAACTTCTTCCTTGTCCCTTCATTTCACCTTGTATGTGTGTGTGTGTGTGTGTGTGTGTGTGTGTGTGTGTGTGTGTGTGTGTGCATAGACAAGCCAGGGAGCCCAGGGGTCTGTATCTCCTTCTGTCACAGACTCCTCTTTGCTATGTGTGCAAGCATAGACTACCATGTTATTTCTGTGGGTTTCAGGGGTTGACCTAGGGTCACCTACTTGCAAACAAGCGCTTTACTGACTGAGACTTTCCCAATCTCATTTCCCCTCTTATTTATTTCATCAGCAAGGTCTAGATCCTTAATAGTTTCATTTTACCGGTAGGTTTTTATTTTTGTTAAGTTGAGAGGAATTTATTCCACCTATTAGCAACACGGCAATCTTCCTGTTGCCCACTGAGAGCTTTGGGGGCTCATGTAGCTTACAGGTGTAGATTTTAGGGAGGCCTGAGAAACCCAAGTGGTGCCTGCTATAATTTTACTTTTTCAGCTGGTCCTGCTTTGCAATTTTCCATATGTGTGTGTGTGTGTGTGTGTGTGTGTGTGTGTGTGTGTGTGTGTGTGTTTGCAGAAGGCTAGGATGCACCTCAGTTGGTGCAGTGCTTGCCTAGCGTGGTTGAAATTCTGGGTTCAGTTAGCATTACATAAACCAAGTATTGTATCCCATACCTGTCATTCTGGCACTTAAGAGGTGGAGGCAGGGCGACCAGAAGTTTTAAGGCATCTTCAGGTGCGTAGAAAGTTTGAGGCTAACCTGGAATATATGAAATCCTCTCTCTCTCTCTCTCTCTCTCTCTCTCTCTCTCTCTCTCTCTCTATATATATATATATATATATATATATATATATATATGTATATGCGCACATATATGTGTATGAGAGATTTTTGACTAATTGGTTTAAATTCACTGAGTTCTATTTTATGGTTCAGAATCATCTGATACTGCTAATTTTTATTACTATTTGTGATGTTTTTATATTGATCATTACTCTTGGGAGATAACTGCAAAACATTTACTAATTTGAGTATGCTTTTTGAGTATCGTGAGCAAACTGTAGGTAAGTTGTCAATTTTTCACTGGTCATCTCCAATGTTGCCATAGTGCTTAGAAAGAATTTAGGAGTCAGGGAACTGGGTGACTCATTGACTCTTAAGAAGATATGATTATCCATCTATTCATAGTACCTTATTTGTTTTCCAGGGGAATATTTTCGAGTTGTCCTTTCAAAACTGAAGAGTTGTGATGTCTTTGATGAGCCTGACAAGTGAGTTTATTTCCTTCTTGCTGACTTTCAGCTTTATTTAAAGAAACTCAAAGTATTTGCCTCAAGAAATGCAAAGTGCATATAATCTTGACCATTCTACTGTGTGTGTGTGTGTGTGTGTGTGTGTGTGTGTGTTGCTAAAACTCCAGTAGTTATTTCTGATCTTATTCCAATGGAAATAAACAAACTATGAAATTAATATAGAAGTTGCAGCACTGGCTGGCTCCGTTTTCAGAGTGTTTTAATGATGAGCGACAGGAGATCCCACCCATGGTATTTTTAACCCACGCTCATCATCTCTAATTTGTTTGTACTAAAGGAAGAATTCTCTTGCACTGCTGACCAGTTCAGAGCCTCCATCCACGATGGTTTCCCACACTTTCTGTGCACATCCCAAGGGTCCTGATAGCCTTTTCTCTTTTTCTTGTTTAAAATGTTGACTGTTGGGACTTTGGAAACAGTTTCGTTCCTTTTTGTTGAGAATTACACTTAAAGATAGCAGACAGCTTACTTAGATATATGCTTTCTATCTATAAATGTAGTTTATCGTGTAGAAAATTTTCTTCCCAAGATAATCCATAGAAACCGCGTTGCCAAAGTTGGACGTCTCGGTAGGTAGGCTTACTTTTGCAAAGGTGGGCTTATATCAAAAAGTTTGAAGATACAATTTAGAATTTGGATTATGGGGCAGTATAAGAATGGAGATGGTCTGTGGAGATCAAACCTATACTTAAGAAGGAAAATGGTAGAATTCCTTCTTGTCCAAAAGGATAGGGGTGCAACATGAGGAATGTAGAAGGTGTAGTGGACAGAGAAGTGAACGTGGAGATAGAATTTATAGCACAGAGATGGGTGGGTGTGTTATATTTTATTGAGATCTGTCAGGTCTGTGGAAGACACAGGTTATTGAAATGTGGAATATATATGGCATGTTGATTTATTGCCATTTGTTATAATTTGTAATTCAAAACTATGCCACCTACTGATCAGTTTCAACTTTGATTGCATATCAAGAGATTGGTGGGTTTTGTTGTTTTTGTTTGGTTTTGGTTTTGGAGATGGGGTTTCTCTGTGTAACCCTGCCTGTTCTGGAGCTTACTCTGTATACCAGGCTGACCTCAACTCACAGATCTGCCTGTTTCTGCCTCCTGAGCACTGGAATTAAAGGCATGTATCACCACTACCCAGCACATATCAAGAGCGTGCGTGCGTGCGCACACACACACACACACACACACACACACACACCCCTCACATTTTACACAACTTTCATTTGTAGAGTTTTAATTTGTGAAGATGGTTGGCTTACATGCTGTAGGTCAACTTTTTCTCTAGTTTTCCAAGTGGTAAAAGTAAGGCCAGACAGATAGACAGCTTGCTTTAGCTGGGAGATGGCAGAGCTAGGATGAGAACAGAATTAGCTGCAGCTCCAGTGCCTGGATGTCTGTGCAGAGAGCAAGAACTGACCCTGTAAGGGTTTCCAGCAGGGATCTGAAAACAGTTCTGTAAAGGCAAACTGTCATATTCGAGTCTGTGAGTAGAAATTTCATTCTTGTCTCCTTTTGACGTCACTACTAGATTGTTTGATTCAGCTGCTTTCCTAGGATATCCTCAGGCAAAGAGAGGTCTTCAGCCATGTGTCTGTTCTCTCTTTATGACTTGGTCTGCCTGTCCCCTCTGTTCCCTCTTCATTGCTACCAATGCTCCCACTCCCATCAGGCTATGGCTAATTCACCCTTGAACCTTTTCCCTTCATTTTATCCTCTTTCTCATTTTCAGAAAAAAAAAATAGCATTTTTGTTGCTGTTTCAAGTGTAAATGTTTTAAGACTACATTAGTTTGGTTCAGATAACTTCGTCAAGAGTGCCTGATGCTTTGGTCAATTCCCCTGTGAAGGGGAAAATGTGAAATATTGGTTATAAGTTGAATACTTTCATCTAGCTCGTGGATTTTTACATGCATGAAGTCTGCAGGGATATCCCAGTAATTCTGTGGTCACCAGGGCCAAGGCTTCTTTGTGTTGGACACTACTGTTCCTCAGTACATGGCTTCTTCCTTAGGGTCCAAAATGAAAGGTGGAGTTCAACCCTGTTGGGGGAATATTATTTTAAGGTGTGTTACTTTTATTCATGTTGTATTTGTCTAACTCTGTGAAGCTGTGTTACTGTGCCTGTGTAAAACATTTGATGGTCTAATAAAGAACTGAATGGGCCAATAGCAAGGCAGGACAAAGGATAGGTGGGGCTGGCAGGCAGAGGGAATGTATAGAAGGAGAAATCTGGGAGGAAAGAGATCTAGCAGCCAGAGGAGGAGGACTCCAGGGGCCCAGCCACACAGGAAGCCACGGAAAAAGAGTAAGAGTTACAGAAGGAAGAGAACGGGAAAGCCTAGAGGCGAAAGGTAGATGGGATAAGTTAAGGAAAGCTGGCAAAAAACTAAGCCCAGCTAAGGCTGGGCATTCATAATTAAGAATAAGCCTCCATGTGTGATTTATTTGGTAGCTGGGTGGTGGTCCCCCCAAAAAGGAGCAAAAACCTCCAGTAATACAACAACCCATCATGTCTTCATTCCTGTCAGAAGAGAGGAGGAATGGGAGAAGGCCATGTACATCCCGTGATGCTTGCCTTCTTCTTATGGCCCTTAAGTATGGCTCTCAAGAAGCCACACAAATTTCTTCCTTGTACCTAGTGATGAGCTGGAGCCACGGGTGCCAACATGGGAGAGCTATATCTCTTTCCAGCTCCACATTTAGCAACCTCTGCTGGAGGCTTGCTGTCTGCCATGGAGCCAGTATCCATATCATGGGAACTGGCAAGTCTCACAAGCTGGAGCTTCTCAGGCTCTCTCTCCTTCCCTCAGAATAGACCATTAAACATGTGCTGGCAACCACTGATGACATCCCATGGGTAAACTCAGGCACTGGCCATGTCTGGCTAGAAAGGTGATGGGAGATGTTGCCTGTTGTCTAGGTCATTGTGTGCCCACCTTTTAAAAACAGCAAGTCCCAGGGCTGCCATGATGGCTGCTGAGCTAACATCCTGAGTTCAATCTCCAGTACCCATAGAGTGAAAAGAGGGAACTGAGTGTGCTCTCTCACACTAAGTAAACAAAATGTAATTAAAAAAAAAGTATGACCTGTTTTGTTAAGGGTGGAAGGAAGCATGGTGATAGAAGCTTTCTCTCTCATTTCCTTGGTCCGCAGGTGTTTCTGTGCCATGGAGGATTCTGAAGTCAACTGGGTTAAATAGCGCAGCCACGCTTCCCCATGCTGCTCCTGTGCTTTCTCGCAGATAGAGGTTTTTCTCTATTCACTTAAGCCCAGCAAGCATCGCTTCCATGCCCAGTGAGCTTCACTAAAGATGGACATTACAAGGAAATTGCAAGGAACTGTTAAAACAAGTCCATGTTCTAAGTTTATGATTTCCTGGTTGTCCATGTTGCTCCCTTGCTCTAGCCTGGTCCTGGCCCCAGGAATACTGCAATCTCTTCCCCAGTCAGGAGCCACAGAAGCCTTGGAATGCAGAACTGCAGCTCCCACTTAAAATGCACCCACTAGCTCCCCACCCCCATCCACCAGATGCTTTGTTCCTGCAGCCTAGGTAGTTATACAGTAACTCCATATAAATAGCTTACTAAGGGAAACACCTGTGTTGAGTCGGTTGGCAGCTAAATGGGTGATGGGCTGTAAAAGCTGTCTAGATGCTCACTGAAGTGGAACCCATTATGTCAGCTCAACAGAGCTGGGTTGGGTTGGTTACCGAGGAGAGGCAGAGCAGGGGCCGGTGAGGAGAGTTGAAAAGAACAGAAGCTATAAAGTTGACAAGAAAAGGACACTGTGTGCAGTGTGAAGGTCTGCATCCTGCTGAGCTAAGGATTGTTTACCTCGGAGGGTGGAGGGAGCCGAGGGCAGAGGAAGCTGTGATCAACAGATGGGTCATCTGTGGGAAAAGCATGGGGCAACCACTACCTGTTTTCTATCTTCTCTGAACAGATGCTGAGAAAAGATACGAAAGCTGGGGCTCCCCGGGCTGGAGGAAAGGGCCCCGTCCAAAAAAAAAACAAAAAACCAACAACCATGAAAGATGTTAGTGGTTTCTGTACTTCACACAAACTGAAATGAGAGAGGTCAGATCACCAAGCCAGGTTCCTAGAGGTACTGGGGGAGCATGAGTACAGAACCCGGCCTCCAGCCCTAATTGCACATTATTTTAGGGTTTGGCTGCAGGGACTACAGATGCTGACTGAACATGCATTATCACTCATGTGTAGTTTCCGATCTGTACGTTTGTGGTTCCTATAGGGTACCAGCCTATGGCTTCACTGAGCGTAAAGTGTACAGCCCCAGGGGGTGCCAGTTTACACCCGTAGTTGTCTGAATGAAGCTTCCTAAATTGAGACTATGTATAGTCTCAGCATCTTTATGGTGTGTCTCTGGTTGAGGGGCTCAGTGGTGTTAGGGATCCAAGGTGGACTCTCTGTGGCTCTTTTCTCCTCAGGTACAAGATGGCTGCCTCAGCTCTAACCTGCCATCCAGTGTCAGTGTCTAAGCTGAAAGGAGGGGCCAGGTGAAAAATAATGTTTTACTTACACCATTCTCTTTCTAGGGGCAGAATCTTTTCCCGAAAGCAGCTGACAGACTCCCCTGCTATCTGATTGGTCATGTGGGGGGTGCGTCACGTGGCTGCCACTAGACCTGATTTCAGTGTCAGGGATAATGCGCTCACCATTGGAGGCTTACAAAAGCAGGCTTCTGGGTTATTGAGAACATGGCCAGTAGGATTTGCCATAGAGTCTCACACTGAAGATAGAGCGACGTGTTTTAATGTTTTGCGTGTTACCAGTCGAAAAGCACTCGGTAAAGAAGGCATATCACGGGTGGTTTGTAACAGTAGCTGCAGTTTACTTTCTGTGTTTTGTGTAGGGTAGTGACTCTGCACAGGAGTGACTCTTGGTTTGTGTAGGGTAGTGACTCTGCACAGGAGTGACTCTTGGTTTGTGTAGGGTAGTGACTCTGCACAGGAGTGACTCTTGGTTTGTGTAGGGTAGTGACTCTGCACAGGAGTGACTCTTGGTTTTGCCTTTCATCTGGGGGAAGTGAATCTTAGCCCTACTTCCTCAGCAGCTGTTCAGGTTTTTCTTTAACAAGCTCAGACACGATGCAATTATTTGATTGTGTGCGTAAGACTCTTGGGGAGGGGGGGTCTGTTTATTTCCTTACTTCTTTTTTTCCAGGGTAGAGGAACAGAAACCTGCTTCTCCAGACACTTTAGGAAAATAACCTCCACACACTTAATGAGAACCAAACTGATTTTGAAGATACCTATAAATGAGTTAAGTGGTTCAGTTAGAGTGATAGGCAAGAAAAATTCTTTCTTCTAGGGACTCAAAATTCACTGCAGCTATTTGTATAGGAAGATGGGGTTAAGTAAACATGATGAGCCGGGTGGTGGTGGTGGTGCACTCATTTAATCCCGGCATACTCGGGAGGTAGAGGCAGGCAGATTTCTATGTGTTTGAGGCCAAACTGGTCAGTGAAGTGAGTTCCAGGACAGCCAAGGCTACACAGAGAAACCCTGCCTCGAAGAACAAACAAAAGTAAGCATGATGAAGTTACAGTTACCAGAGGATTCTGGGAATCATTCCCCATATGTAAGGTGTCAGGGCAGCCAGAGTCCAAGGCCAAGTGCATCATGAAGAGTGGAAAGCATCGGTTCCTTTATAGAACATCAGAATCTGGGGGTTGGGGACTTAGCTCAGTGGTAGAGCGCTTGCCTAGCAAGCACAAGGCCCTGGGTTCGGTCCTCAGCTCTGGGAAAAAGAAAAAAAAAAAGAGAATCTGTTTGAGAGAAGTAAGTTCTGAGACGAGTGATTCAGACATTTTGTACCATTCTGTACCTGCCAGAACTGCAGCGCAGCTGTGGATATGATGCTACCGGAAAAGGGCCACGCTAGGACCACCCCCAATACCCTGTAGCCAATGTACGCTTCAGAATAGTATGTGGGTCTGTGTGGCTATCCTTTCCTCTGAGGAAAGGTGGGATCTCAGTGACAGGGTTTCCCCCTGGAAGGCCTGGAGAACTTTTCCTCCAGTAAAGGCCCTTTCTTCCCCTGTCCCCCGGAAAGCCGACGAAGAAGGAAACAGAAATGGAGTTCCTCTAAGCGTTTGACACTGAAGTGTGATGAGCAGAAACAGCACTTTGTGGAGAGCTCATTATAGAGAACCCCATGGAAGTGATCTGCCTGAACCCTGTGTCCTTTGTTCTCATGGCTGACAGTAAGGTCTGCGGGAGGTCCAGGACTCGCACTGAGGGAGGGGGAATCAGTGACATGGCATGACACATGGTGGCTGTCTTTAATCCTTAGGTCATGATGCCACATACTACCTAGTCTGATAACGAGGTACCCTCTAGGAATACTACGATCCAGCCTGTCAGTGCATTGCAGCATCATGGCACTAGCCCAGTTTGGGACTGAGCCAAGTTACCCCTTCCAGGAACCAACTTCAGAGCTAGAGCTTATGAGCAAGGAATCCTTTGTTGGAACCCCAGGTAAAGTCCCAGGGGACACGCTGGTAGCCTTCTCTCCCAACAGCCCCTTCCTCTTGTGCAATTGGTGTAGTCAAGCCTGTCATCTGATATCAGATAGGGGCTCCGGGCCAGGATAAAAGCTGAGGTTACTCCCTGGACCTAGGGGAAAGCAGTTCCTTCCTGGGTAGAAGAATTGAAAGTGGCTTTCAGTCTTCAGTGGAGGCTGAGGGGCTAGACTGATAATTAGTGATACTCCTCTCTGTCTCATGGAAACAGCTGTCATTTCTAACCTGTCTGTTCTGAGCCACCCCTTTCAGTGCCCAGGCTTGCTCAGGACTTCCAGTGGCAGGGGTGGGGGTGGGGTGGGGTGGGGTGGAGCCAGCTTCAGCAGGGTCAGCCTGGGGAAGAACTGACCCCTGAGTTTCTGGAGCGGGAATTGCTGCATTTATGGGATAGATCTCCTAAGGAGAATAGCTGTAATACTCTGAAAGGAGGGTTTGAATATCCAGTGGTATCTTCCCTTCAGCAGTGAGGAGCAAGGAGATTTGATGAGCTGGGCTTCCTTTCCTGCAGTTCATATTGACGTCATATTTGTTCATAAAAGAGAGACAGGTTTCCTTTCTCTCCTTCCTTCCTTCCTTCCTTCCTTCCTTCCTTCCTTCCTTCCTTCCTTCCTTCCTTCTTCCTTCCCTCCCTCCCTCCCTCCCTCCCTCCCTCCCTCCCCCCCTCCCTCCCTCCCTCCCTCCCTCCCTCCTTCCCTCCCTTATTTCCTTAATGCATGAACTACTACTTTATTATTTTTTCAGCATAATATTTTTTATTGACAATTTGGAAATTTCACATAATTCACCCAGATCACATTCACTTCTTAGGTGATTTTCTTAAAATATACAGGTCTAAAAAGACACCACCAGAACACATTGTATCATATATTGATCATTTGAAGGTTTGCAGGCGCATTTTTTATTGGACAATGCCCCCTGTTGTTCGGCCCCCAAATTCCTGACACCCACAAAACTGTTGCTTCTTGTTCTTACCTGGTGAACTAGACACTGATGCCAGTGGAGCTGATGCCTGTTGAGAGCTCAGAGCCTCCGGTTAAAGTGTGTTAAAAATGGTTTGGGGAGAGGGGCTGGTGAGATGTCTTAGTGGGTAAAGATGTCCACTGCCAGTTGGGGTGTTCAGTCATCAGCACCCACATGATGGAAAGGGAGAACCAATTCCCATGCATTATCCTCTGATCACCACATTTGTGCTTGCCTATACACACACACACACACACACACACACACACACACACACACGAGAGAGAGAGAGAGAGAGAGAGAGAGAGAGAGAGAGAGAGAGAGAGAATTAAAACGGGTAAGGAACTTTATATTTTTAGAAGTGCTTTTGTAATACCAGTGTTAAAACATGACATAATTTATTGAAATATGAGACTCTGTAAAAAAGGGTAAACTTGATTACAGAGTGCATTCATCATCTCTTAACCCAATCTGGTTTTTTAAAAATGTTTTCCCACTCCTACATTCTCCGGGTTTAAATATGACACAGCATTTGAACAGTTTTTAAAAATCTTAGAGTTTTGGGGCTGACTGTTCTGCTGCTTGCTTGAGGAACAGGTTTGCCTTCAGACTTCCCCTGCTGCGAGGACTCGGAAGGAGTCCTTCACAGACTCCTCTTCTGCAGCCACGTCATTAGGGATCTGTCGTTTCTCAGGCCTAGTGGACGACGGTCACAGCAAGAAAATCTCACGCCAAGGTCACATGAGCTGAGGGCCAATGCTGTGCCACCCCAGGGTTTGACTCTGTCCTGGAAGTCCCCTTTGTGCTCTATTTAAAGCTTTTCAGAAGCACAGTGAACACTGTGTTTGGGTGAGACTCCCAGGAGCAGTCAATGTCTGAGACTTTGACGTGAGCCAGGCAGGGTGCAGAAGGCTGCCCCTCCCCTACCACATTCCAAACTCGCCGTTTCCACATTTATATGATGCAAGAGAAAGCCAGGGGGTAGATAAGGGGTGGGGAACACTGGTTTCAAACGTGGATAGCGATGTAATGGGAGCTATGCTAGTACCTGCAAGCTTATGCCAATGGAACACCTTGGAACTCCGAAAGTTCAGAACAAAATGCTAGTCCTAGCTCTTTGGAATTTGAACTTTGAATGATACATTCTCCCCCCAAATTTATTTCTTCTTTTGTCTATCAGGCTACTCTCGAAAAACTGGTGATTTTAAGGATCACAGGAGAGAATGTACATGTGCGTGAGCTGCTAAGGTTGATGTCAACCGTGATGATATACTTTCCCCAACAGCATTATGTTTCCTAAATCTCCGGACCTCAGGCACAGTTGGTTATTTTTCTACTTGGATGACAAGGGAAATTTCACTTAGTTCCTGAAAGCAGGAACAGGTTCTTGGAGTCACTCCATATCATAAATGTGATTTCTCAGTCTCACACTTGTCTGTTTGCCCAACAGTGTGCCGTGTAAGAGGTGTGTGGTGGTTGGTAATGGAGGAGTGTTGAAGAATAAGACACTAGGAGAAAAAATCGACTCCTATGATGTGATAATAAGGTAAATGTATCTCCTCTTTGCTAACCTAGAATTGCTTGAAAAGAATGCTTTCCCACTCTGGCACAGCTGCGTTTTAAAAATGACTGTTTATGCACCTGATTATACAGCCTTGGTTGCTGACTACAGTGAGCCAGATTTCAAATCACTGATTTAGCAAATATTTAATAAGTCCACTTATTAAATATGCCAGGGACAAACCTAGCCACAGGAAAGATCATAGCACGATAAGAATGTTCATGTTCTTATGATGTTTGCATTCTAAAGAAAGGGGGGGAAAACAGTAAATGTATAAGAAGATAGCCTAAGTTTAATACAGACAAATAAGAGAGATGATAAACAATTATCAAGTGACTACTTGGGAAAGGGTGACCACTTGGAGGAGAAATTTAAGCTAGACCAAAGGACCCATAGAGGACTAGCTATATGAAGACAATGGAGGAGCAGTCCAGACAGAGGATGTGTTTTCAGGTTCTTAGGAAGCTTTGATCCTGAGTTTGTGAGGAGCAGCAGATAACCCAAGCTTAGAGAGCGGTCTACCCAGAAACCGAGGAGGTGGGCAAAGAACAGACCATGCAGGACTTTAAAGATTAGATGATTGCATGTTAACTTTAAGTTCATTAGGAGCTTTTGGAGCCTTTTAGAAAACAACTTTAGGAGATATGGTTGTGTCTTGAAAGTTTTCTGGCTGCAGCAGACAATGGACAAGGCAGGGTATGAAGCATCAGGAGAAGTTGCTGTATTCAGGCCATGGATGCTTGGGCAGAACTGTCATGGAGGAGAAGGAAAGAGGGCAGACTGGAACTAGATTATGGGAAAAGGGGTATCAGGATATGCTGCCTGACTAGATAAAGTACTGCAGATAAAGGGAACAAGGGCGCCTCTGGTTGTTTTCAGCTCCGTTGACTGGCTGGAAAATTTAGCAAGTTTGGGAGACAGGTTTCGGCTGAGGTTCAGAAGAAAATAAAAATTTCTGTATGACTGTTATCTTTAAGATGTCTTTGAGATATGTAGCAGGTAAGTGGACAGTCACATAAAGAGGTTAAACTTTCCAATAGTGAGTGGCCCATGAGCTGTATTTAATCAAGGGCTTGGTGTGACCCTTTAATACAGTTCTTCATGTTGTGGTGACCCCCAACCGTAAACTTATTTTGTTGTTACTTTATAATTGCAATTTTGCCACTGTTATGAATCGTAATAAATATCTGATATGTAGGCCATCTGATATACAACCCCTGTGAAAAGGTTGTCCGACCCACGGGTTGCGAACCATTGCCAGAGAGAGAGAGAGAGAGAGAGAGAGAGAGAGAGAGAGAGAGAGAGAGAGAGAGAGAGAGAGAGAGAGAGAAAGATGGCAGAGACACATGAGAGGGTCTGGCACTGAAGTTTGGGGCTCTTAAGACTTAGAGGCTGAACAAAAAAATAAATGGAGTGACCTGCCAGTGAGGCATGAAGAAAACAAGGTGACCCCGGTTGCCAACAAGAGTGCTAAGTGTTTTAGAAGAGGGATCAGCTGGGTCCAATTCCGATGGAAAGTTGTGCAAGGGCAGAGGGGGGCCAGATGGACTGTCAACCCGACAGTCACTGTCACCCTTGACAAAAGCTTTAGGCAGGATGTGGCAAGAAGCCCAACTGGAGTGAGCAGAGGAAAGAATGACAGAGAAGAGGGAGAAACCAGTGTCGTCAGCTATTGAGAAACGTTCTGAGCAGGTGACAGTGAGCTGGGCCTCGGAGGTGGTTTCAGGATCTAAGAAGGCACGTGGCTCAAGTAGTTGAAATGGAGAGTGAGCCTGGTAGGATAAGAAGAGGAGGCCATGGGGTCAAGAGTTCAAGGGTGATTCATTTTCTGTAGTGGAAAGGAGACGCATGTAACTGTGGTTACAGCCACCAGTTGTCTCTGATACACAGCGTAGGGGAAATAGCTTTCCTGTCTCTCGTGTCTGAATGGAAGGGGAGGGAAGGTTGTTATCTGGGTAATATTCTCTCTCCCTCCCTCTCCCTTTCCATCTTTGCCCCCCAAAGCCACCCCTCCCCCCGCCCCGTGTGTGTGTGTGTGTGTGTGTGTGTGTGTGTGTGTGTGTGTGGTAGCTTTAAGCAGCCATCGAACTAGGACACGGTGGCCACACGGAGAAGACCTTGCAGTGTGTCCTGAGGCTGCCTGGGTTACAAGCCGAGTTCTGCATAACAAGGTCATCTTCCTTTCTGTTTATTACCCATTTTTGAAGAATCTGTGGTAATTTATAAAACAACTGGATGTATCCATTTTCCCACTAACAGATGTTTAACTGATAAGTTTTAGAACCTCGGCAAGTCTTTGTAGGCAAACACCATGGGTCCATTTTGAAAGCCACTGTAGGTGTCTTGTATTACACACAGAGTTGGTGGCAAAAGGGTAAAACAGTATTTACCCTCCCAGGGGACATTGTTTTGGAAAAAAAAAAATTCCATTTTCATAGAATGCCTTTATATTGTATGCACAAACAGTGATTGTCTAACACTGGCCTTGAACATACACTAATACAACAGTGGATCTTTCTAGTGTTTACAGTTCAATAGCAAAAGGCATTTGTCTAATTGTGCTGAGTGTGGTATAGAGTTTTTATGTAGCTATTTAATTTCAGAATATTTTTTTAAAAATGATTTACTTTTATGTGTGTTTGCCTGTGTCTGTATAAATACACTGTGTGTGTGTGTGTGTGTGTGTGTGTGTGTGTGTGTGTGTGTGTGTGTGTTTTGCCTGCAGAGACCAGAAGAGGACACCAGATTCCCTATTGGATTTAGGGATGGTTGTGAGTCAGCATGTGGGTGCTGGGAACTGAACTTCGGTCCTCTGAAGAACAACAAATGCTCTTAACCACTGAGCCAATGGGTCTTCACCCTAACTTAAATGTGATTCTTCATGCCTTATCAGTCATGTTTTTGGACTGAATAACCTGTAGGCATATAACTTTCTCAGGAATTCAATGCCATTAGTTGTGAAGCCAAGGTGGGTTTGTGTGGCTATCCACCAAGTTCTCTTCTAACTATAGTAATTATTATATTATAATAATTAATAGATATAGTATTACTAACTATAGTGATTCTGTGGTTTTGTAGTCTCATTCCTTTTAGTCCTGTGCAGGTCAGACTGAATGACTGACCCCCTAATTAGTTTCTGAATACAGATGACTGTCTCATGAAAAGGAATCGTTTCCCTGGTCAGTACTGTAAAATAGTAATCAACTGTCTTGGTGCTTCTGAGTGCAGGAATAATGGCTGATGCCCATTCAATTCTGAAGCCTCAGAACCTGATGAACATGGCTCATACTCCACTCATCCTGTACATACTGTCTTACTACCCACAGAATGAATAATGGTCCTGTTTTAGGACATGAAGAGGATGTTGGGAGAAGGACAACCTTCAGGCTTTTTTATCCAGAGTCTGTCTTTTCAGACCCCACTCACAACGATCCCAATACTACAGCGGTTCTCATCGTCTTTAAACCACAGGATTTAAGGTGGCTCTTGGAAGTGATGATTGGTCGCAACATAGTAAGTGGGCAAAAACTATTTTGGTTCAGATTACTTTCAGTATTCCCCCCCCCCCCCGCCTCCCCCAAAGTAAAAAACATTCACAACATCCCATTTTGTGTGTCCTTTATTTCAGAACACTAATGGTTTTTGGAAGAAGCCAGCCTTAAACTTGATCTATAAACAACACCAAATCAGAATATTAGATCCATACATCATCAGAGAAGCAGCTTATCAACTGCTTCATTTTCCCACAGTGTTTCCCAAAGGTCAGGTATGTATGTATCATCACATAGTTTCAAACTGAAGATCTAGCTAAGGGGACAGAGGGACATTAGAGCTTTCAGACACTGCTAAGAACCATGGTTCAGATGGTATTTTCTTAGGACTATAGCTGTGTTCAGAAATTAGACACCAAATGGATATTATCTGATGTTTTACAGGTTGCAAAAAAGAAAAAAAATAACCTTAAGTGAGAAGTGTGTTTTGGGTTTCTTTTGTGTTTGGATGGTCTTCATAGACTCTTTTTCTGAAGGCTCACTAATTTATTTCTTACAACCATGGCTTCAGTGTTGTGCCGCAAGGCCAGCATGACTCACAGGCTGCTCAACAGCCCTGTGTGCAGAATGTAGCTTTTCGAGTAAAAAGAATTGTCTCAAGCACTCTGTTAGTCAACTTCATGCTACACAAAATACCAGAGGTAAACCATTTAGGAAGAAGAGACTCTTAACTCAGTGTTAGAACGTCCTACATATGGTGGGGCTTGCACACCATTGTGGGACTGTGTTAGAGTGCTCACATCTCAAAGGCTGCAAAGAGGGATAAAAAATGTCGATCAGGAGGCCACAGTGAACTGAGTGTCCTTACATTTTGTTGATATTCTCAATTCTCCAGAGGCTTTGCCTTTTCCATTATTTTGTTCTTGCTCAAACAACCCCAGCAGGATACTCTTAATTCACAGCTGCCCTGAGCTAAAACTACAGCTATATTTTATTTTAGAGGCTTTCCAAGATACCAGTCATAGCATATGTCCCTTTTAGAATAATGTTTACTTTTGGGGGCTTGAGTCTTAAGGACACAATGATGGCTTAACTATTTATCTTTTTAATGTTTAGAAATCCACTTTCATCAGACTAGGTATGTCTGGAAGAATGTAGCTTATTTGTATTTTTAAGTTTCTGATTTCTTTTTAGAAACCCAAACACCCTACGACAGGAATTATTGCCATCACACTGGCATTTCACATATGCAGTGAAATTCACCTCGCTGGTTTTAAGTACAGCTTTTACAACCCAAATGGTCCTTTACACTACTATGGAAATGCCACTATGTCTTTGATGAATAAGGTAACCTATCTTTCTTTCTTTTCCTTTATGTCTTTCTTTCTTTCTTTCTTTTTCTTCTTTCTCTTTCTTTCTTTCTTTCCTTTCTCTTTCTTTCCCTCCCTCCCTTCCTTCTTACTTTTTTTTTTTTTTTACTATTTAAAAAACCCTTACTCTTAAAAATGTGTGTAATGTGTTCATCACATTTGTAGGTGCACACATGGTGTCTCTGGAAGCCACGGGTCAATGTTGAGTGTCACTCCTCATCTTGTTTTTTTAATGGTCTCTCACTGCTACAGAAATTACTAAGCAGTCTAGGCTGTCTGGCCGGCCTGTCTCCGCCTACTCACAGCTGGGATCACAAGTGTATGCCACTACACCTGGCTTTTTACACATGTGCTGGAGGTAGAACTCGGGGTCCCTGCAAGTACTTTGCCCACCGAGTTTTGTCTCTAGCCACCCGTGTCCCTTTTCACACTCTTGAGCTCCCAAAGGCTGAAAACAGGATTCTGGTCCAGTGGCCCTTTTACTCTAGCAGCAGTTCCTAACTTGTGGGCCACAGACTCTTTGGATAGCCTCATGGTGACTGCCGTTTCATCAAACCCCAGTAGGGACTGAATCTTACTTTTTCTTTTTCACACTATTTAAATATAATCAACTGGTGTGTTTGATACACACGAACTTACCAAATCCTCCCTAAGGTCATAGTAATTATGTTCACACTTTTAGTTAAGTAGACAGGTGGTCTAGAAACAGGTAACCCTATGAAAGACTTCATGTCGACAAAGTGGCAGACCTCTATACCAGATGATGATCCTCTTGATCAGACACTGATGGTGGCGGACTTGACCTTGAGGGTCCAGTTCTGAATGAGAAGGGATTTCCTATTGTTGTAGTTCTTAGATTAATGATATACCATAAGCGACACACAAAAAAATGTTATGTTTAAAATTTTGAAATCAGTGATTTGCTATAAAGTATATTGCAATAACAGCTCATGAAATCAGCCTCGTTAAATAACCCCTGAATATCTCAGAGCTGGGAAAATGACATTCATGCTGAATTTTGCTGCTGTCTTTTGTGCTTCTAACGTGAGACAAATATTTAAGCTTAGAACAAATGTTGAGCTTTCCCCTCTGCCCTAGTTTCCTACAGTACATGTAAAATATTGAAACAAGAGCAGAATACCGAGGCAACTTCCTAGAGACATCCATCAACAGGATAGATTTAAAAAAAATGGTGGTGTTGGAGATCGGACCTAGGGTGCTGTACAGTGCTAGGCAAGTACTTGACCACTTATCTATACACCCAGCTCCAGAATGACTATTTTTGTGGTATTAGGAACTGACTTCAGAGACTTATGAAGGCTGGGCAAGTATTCCACCACTGAGCTAATATCTCAGACCTTTAAAAAAAAATATCTTGTGTCAGGGTCTCTCCTTGTAATCCAAGCTGGTCTTCACTAATGATCCTCCTGTTTTACCTTGTCAAATGGCTCGGATTATAGGCATTGCAAAACTATGTCAGGTTCAGAATTGTTTTAAAGGTGAAGGGTAAGTAGTTCAAGGTTATTATTTACTACATAATAAGTGGGCTCTAAGAAATCCTGTTATAAACCAACTCACCCACCCACCCACCCTGCAACCACCAGGTTTTATGGTATCTTATCTCCAGGTCACTTTTTAAAAATGGACTCCCAGTGTTACTTTTACATTGCATATTCTGACTTAAATTTTTGGTCTCTCTGTAATTCACTGCTCCAGATGGAGCTCATGTAGAAAGTGAGATTTAGGGAACGCTCTCAAGCAAAGAAGGAGCAAGCGGGGAACAAAGATCTGTGCAACTTGTTGCTAACATCTGTACTTCCTTTAACATCTGAATAACTTTTAACATTCAGAGTATTAAAGTGTCTGGCTTTGATAATGTCTGGAGAGTGGGACTGATGACAATCCTATTTCATTTTCTCTTTCAGAATGCATATCACAATGTGACAGCAGAACAGCTCTTTTTAAAGAGCATTATAGAGAAAAATATGGTAATCAACTTGACTCAAGATTGACCATACAGATTCAAAAGATGACGCTAAACAGTATTAGTTTTATTTTTGTACTGCAAATTTTAGTTTATTTTTAAATATGTTGGATGAACTCATCAAATAATTATGTGTATTAAATCTGTTGCTGCCTGGTGATTTATAACCACCAGCTTAATTTCTGTGAATATATTTATGAAATACAAAAAACTTTTAGTTAAGATATCAAGGAAATATAAAGTTTTGATTGTGTTGTTTTTAAGACAAGCTACTGTTTTGAGGTGTTTTAAAATTCCTTTTGGTAGTTCCTTCATCTTAGAGTTCCAGGCGCTTTAGCTAATGTCCCTAGTTCTGATGTTCACGTGTCATTCTGAGACAATTATTTGTTATGATTTGTTATTCCTGGCATATGACTGGGGGCCGGGGCAGAAAACTAGAACCACTTGTTGTGGAAGTCCATGGTGTGTTCATTGTAGTTTAATTAAGTTCCCCATGCAATTAATTAAGCCAGTAATATCTTGCAGTGTTCGGGAGTAAACCAGAGCCTTTCTTGTACATGCTAGATAGACAACACTCTCACCCTGATGAGCATTCTGAGATTCTTTTGGGGAGTGGGGGAGCGGGTTCTTACTGTGAGCCTAGGCTGGCCTTGAACTTGGTTCTCTTGCCTCACCTTACCAAGTTCTGGGATTACAACTCTGTGCCACTACATATGATGCACAGCATCATTTTTTAAATGAGAAAAGAGTGTTTTTCAGGCAAGGTTTATGTAAGCTCTGGGTGGCCTAGAAACCAGTGTAGTCCAGACTGGCCTTAAACTCAGAGATGGGCCTACCTCTCCCTCCAGAGTGCTGGGATTAAAGGAATGTCAGTTTAAAAAAAGCAAAGCAGCCGGGCGGTGGTGGCGCACGCCTTTAATCCCAGCACTCGGGAGGCAGAGCCAGGCGGATCTCTGTGAGTTCGAGGCCAGCCTGGTCTCCAAAGCGAGTTCCAGGAAAGGCGCAAAGCTACACAGAGAAACCCTGTCTCGAAAAACCAAAAAAAAAAAAAAAAAAAAAAAAAAAAAAAAAAAAAAAAAAAAAAAAAAAAAGCAAAGCAAGATCACTAATGAGGAAATTTAGTATTTTCCCAGTTTAACGTATTCATTAACTCTTAAATGTTTATTTGAAGCAAATTAGAAAAGTAAAACAATGAAAGTAAAGCCTTAACATTCTCGATGACTCTCTATTATTTCTATGGTAAAAAAAAGCTGGTATTTCCTATGCCTAAATTTAGCCTTCACTGAAACATTTACTGGGCCTCTTCAGGTACATGAGAGGAAAGTCTGCTGAAACACAAACAAAAGATAGCTCTGTGAAGCAGTCCCCCTTTCCAGCTGTTGAGACACACAACCAAAGGCTCCTGGGGGTAGGATGGGAGGAGAAAAGAACAGTAGAGGTGATGAGGATGGATTCAAATCCTGTCGGAAATCTGAACTGAATGAAGAATCGCTGTCCTTTGACAGTAAACATCACTGGAAATGTTGATGTTACTGGCAACAACTTGCCCCCCTACAGAGATTATACATAAACAGTTAAATACCAGAAAAAGAATGAATGAAATGCTGAAAACCAGCTTGTGTTGGAGGGAGAGTCAGCTGCTGGGTTGACAGAGATCAGACAGCGAGGCTAGCTCATACTGGCATATTCACAACCCTTGGGGTGGAAGCTGGGTACTAGATGACGCTACATGTTCATGGAGTGTTTCCCTCTTCCTGCACGGCCACAGGGAGCTGGGCTGCTCAGGGTCATGTCCATAAGTCAGGCTTGAGAAGGGTGGTGCTGGCACCAGGGCAGGTGGCATCGGAGAAAGGAGAAAAACTAACGGGAGCATTTGGAAATGATGCTATAAGCACGGTAACATTGGTCTTGAAAACACGACTTGTCAACGTTGAGAGATTTGGCATTTGGTGGCGTATGATGTCAAGGTTGTTTTATTTAATCCAAATAATCTGAGCAAGACACACATATATAATTTATTAAAAACACATTAGAATCTCACTATTTTCAACAGCCTAAATTCTAGCAACATATACAAATATCAAGTGACTACAGTACATGCCGAGGTAAGAAAATACATTCTGGGGGATTATAACTGACACTCAAGCCATCTTCACTTCCTCTGTACTTCAATACATGTTTTGTTTTTACCATTCCCAGTGCCCCAAATGGAAAACAAGAGAAACTACACACAAGCTGGACTAAGTAAGAATTGGTGCCACAGTTAACCTAAACACCTTCTCTCTAACCATCCCACCCACTAGATTTTGCAGTTTAGGGACTTCAAGTTCAAAACCAAAAGGTAGAATTAACAACTACACAGAGCTTCGCTAGTTCTCTTCAGAGGGTCTGGAAACCTTCCAGCGTCCCCCATAGTCTCTGGGTTCCTTTTAGTGGTCTTGGGTTTCTACTCCCCAGGTGACAATGTGGAGTCAAGGCAAAGATGCTCCCGCTCAATCCCTGGCCACAACTTTGTGGACACATCCATATGAAAAGCTTCGTCCCTGGGGCAGGGAGAGAAGCACACACACAGAACACACCGTAACTGTAATGACTGGATAAAGTCTCCAGGTGAACAGCGAATCAACCCATTGTTGAGTGCAAAGTGCAAACAGTGAAACATGAATTAAATAACTGGACTGGACCTGGCACATTTCAACAGGGACTACTTGGATCTACACACAGTATTTAACAAAATGCAAACCAGAATTCACAATCTCTCTATCTGTGCTGGTTCCAAGGATCAAGTAACAGCCAAGTCAGTGTAATTTTCTGAAACCTCCGAAGGCCACGCTTGCCACACTGCTGTCTACATATTTCTATAATTGTAACATCAGGAAAAGAAAAACCGAATAAACCACAGTGACTTAAGTATTGAATATTTCAAGCAAAGAATTAAAAAAAAAATCAAGGAGTTTGGTCAAGAAATGGTTCCTTTCACATTTTACGTGATTGTCTTCCAAAGCTCTGTATCAGACATGTAAGTAACTGAGAACCTAAAACAATCTATAATACAAAAACAAAGTAAAAACACAAAACCAGAAAAAAAAATCATTTGAACCAGGCTCAGCTCTTCATCTGCAACGTAAAAATATATATAAAAATAATTGGATATTTTATGAAAACCATGGGCAGAATTCAAAGACAGCACAGTGGCAATAGGAATCATCAAGTCTTACAATATGCATCATACTAGAGAATATGGCCTCACTTTATTTTTAGAAAGTTCTGGGGGAAATTATCTGAGACACAGTTACACAAAATAGCAAGCTTCTTTGGGAAAATGACTTCATCTTCAAAATGTCTCTCTTAAAGCTTCCACCGGGAATCTGACTCAAAGAGAACTATACTCTCTGTGTATTAAGCATGAATAAAAATAAAACAGCAAATGGTTTACTTTGTTCCCACCTGAAAGGGGGCAACTGCATCATGTGCTTTACACATTCTTAAATGTATCAGTACAAGTTCAGTATCTGTGCTTTTTGCTTCGTTACCTTGAAACAAAATGTGCATTGATTTTTCAATGAGTGAAATTGTGCCTCAAAATCTGCAAAACAAAAGGCAAATTACAATGAAAGCAACAAAATCAGAGGAAGAGAAGGAGGAGGAGGTGGAGGAAGAGGAGGCAGAGGCAGGGAACCTGCAGAAACAAACAGCTGTTTCTGAAGCAGTGTTTTAAAATACTGAGGGACTTGTGGAAGGAAGCAAAGTCAATACTGTTTAGCATTATCCAAATTTAGTGAGGGTTGGCAACGTACAACCTGGATGGTCCAAGCTGAGAGAAATGACCAGGACCTGATGGCCCAGTATACTTTAAGACTAAACCAACAAACATGTTTGTGCAGAGGGGTACAGAGTTTATGTCTACATCTGATGAGCTTCTTCAGTTATCTTGTCAGCCTACAGAAGCTTTCCGCGCACACTACAGGCTAATCCATTACAATGTCTAATGTACCCTATCAGAAATGAGTGCAGGCAGGTCAAGAAGTGACAGGTCGTTGGGGAGAATCCCGCTCAGTTCAGATGCTATGGCACGAGTCAGCCAGGTCTGACACAAAGGACTACTCAGATTCCCACAGAATCACACAGAACTGAAGAAGGCATGGTGGCCCGTTCTTTTTGTACTATAAGACTGAATCTCAGGCCTCACGCGTGCTGTAGGCAAGCACAAACCACTAAGACATATCCTCACCTCTTTCTTATTTTGAGACAGGGTTTTATGAGTGGCCTAGGTTAACCCTGACTTTACTTTGTAGACCTCAAAGCATTGAACTTGGGATCCTCTTGCCACAGGTACTTGGGACTGCAGGCCTGTGCCATCAGGTCTGGTTCATGTCGGCTTCCTTTTTCTTATACTAGTTTATTGAAGAAAACTGAAATAAACTATTTGACAACTGGAAGACTGTTTTCTCTAGACTGCCTATTGAAAGAGGCCACGAGCATCTATAAACACAAGATGGAGCGAGGCCACAAAAGGTCCTGGGTGGGATGAGCAGAAGTGAGACCAGGTCCTGTGCCAGGAGGCGTTAAAAGAGTGTCACCAAACAAGAAGTCAGCCCCCCAGCTTACTGCAAGGCACGTGCTCCAACTCTGCACCTTCCTCGGGAAACACAGAACAGTGCCCATGGCTGCAGCTAGGACAATGTTTATGGACTGCAGCTGTGAAGAAAAAGATTGCAGACAGTAATACAGGGTGGAAAGAGGAGTAGAACGTGATAGTACCTACCTTTCACAAAGGGAGCATTTCAAGCCATTTGATATTTCAAGAACAGTACCATGCATTATTGCCAGCAAGGCTTATCAAACCATCTCAAGTTCATTAATGTACCTGCAGCATTGGTAATAAATACTCAGTGATTTTCAGTTTCTCGGAAGTGCATTATAGGGAGCTTTTTCTGTATTAAAAATAGTGTTTTACAGTAGTAACAAACAGGATGCTTGAAATGTAACAGGCAAGCAGTAACTGTGCCACACAGTAACACCTTTAAAGCAAGATGGCAAGATAAGTAGTTTCTTGTACCTCGGTCACCACATTCCCCTACCCACTTCAGTGACAGATACATAATACATTCTACTATTACTACCACTAAGTAATTAAAAAGCCATGTGCTTTAAATGGATGCTTTGTAAAAAGCAGCACCACCTTCAAAGGATTTCTTTAAAAGCATCCCACTTCTCATCCCTTCCTGCTCCAGATACTTCCTGGGTGCTCTGCGGCACCTGGTACACCAGTTCCTCTGGGGCAGCAGCTGGCTTCCCACCTTTCGGGGTGTCATACTGAGCCTGGCCCGAGGAGCAGCTGTCAGTCCTGGAGAGAAGTGTGTTGTAAGTTCCCACTAATGCGGGAGGAGGTTGGTTCCCTGCCGTTTTGAAAGTGGATGTGGAGGGCAGACCAACTGAGGCTGTGGGGTGCCCTGACATGTCCATGACGATGGGCGTTGCATACTCAGGCCCCGTGATGGGCAGTGGTTCAGCATAGGCATGGTACACTTCCTGCACCGGAGAGTTGTAAGGATCTAGGTCTGCGTAGCCTGCTTCTTTTCCTTC